TTTAATTTTATTTTATTTTTCTTTTCATGCTTTCATTATACCATGCTCTTTTTATTTCTTATTTCTTATTTTACTTATTGTTTGTGGTCTGTTGGGTTTGTGTATGTTTACGGTTGAAGATACGAGAATTCATGGAAGAAAAGAGAGAGAATTCTGGAAAAAAAAACTTTATTCATGGAAGAAAAGAGAGAGAATTTTGGAAAAAAAACTTTTCTGTATTGGAAGAGACATATGCTTTCACAAATCATCTTTAATGGTTACTTGAATAAAATATAACTTGGTGTATCATGACTTATGATTAGTTATATGTAATTATAAAATAAAATATAACTTAATTGTTGATCGGATAAGTAATTATTAGAAAATAAAGGTTTCTATTTTTCAGATGATTAAAAAGGTAAGAATCAATGGGCGATAAAGATTTAATTAAATAGCTTTAAGTCATAAGAAAGGTTATAACTCCGAGTGAAGAAAGAATTCTATTCTCGATAGGCCTTCCCTATAAAGAAAAGAATGGTCGGTAAGAAGCGAGGTGCGGGCCAGACGCAGCAGAGCGACAGCCCGGGAGCGGATTCCCCACCGGCAGGAGGACACGAGACGGCCATCTCAAGGCACATCACGACCTACAGGCAACACCGGCGAGACCTGGGAAGGCAACCCGACTAGGAGTCAGAGGATCCATAGTACCTGCAGCCTCCCGGACTTCATATGAATCATTTTTTAAAGCAGGGGGAAGGGATCTCTTTTCTGCAACGGAAAAAAACAAACGGAGCAGCTGCTAGCTTTTTTTTTTTTTTTAACGAGTGGTCCGAAACGAAGACGCAAAGATGAACATGAAGATAGAATGAGATCCCTCATTTTTTTTCTTTGATGGACTGTCAAAAATTAATAAAAATAGTATTCAAAACCATTTCAGGTTTTTGACCGATGAAAGACCCAGAATCTTTTAAGCAGAACGATGCAGAGTGCCATGTTGTTAAAGATGAACATGAAGAGGAAAGAAGACCCCCCAGAAAAGGGTCCTTTTATAATCAGATAATATTTCTGAAGAATTTCTGTTTGGACAAGTATGGAGTGATTGGTTTTCTTTCTTTTTCTTCTTTTTTTTTTAATTCAATTGGCTTTCGAAAATGAAGATGGAAAGATAAAAATGAAGTTAAAATTAGATCAGTGGGTTCTTTTTTTCTTATTCAACAGGCTTTCTAAAGTGAGGATGAAAAAATAAAAATTAAGATGGAATTAGATCCATGGGTTCTTTTTTTTCTTTTTTGTGGTTCAACATGTTGTCAAAAAATACTAGAATAGTAGCCAAAAGTATTAAAAATTTTTACCTACCAAAGACTCAAAACCTTTTAAGTAGGATGCTGAAGAGGAACATGATGTTAAAGATGAAAATGAAGAATGAATGGGACGCGCTGGAAGACAATCTTTCATAATTAGATAACACTTTTAAAAAATTCTCTTTGAACAAGTAAGTAGTGCTTGATAATTCTCTTTTTTTTTTTTTTACAGGTTATAAAAATAAGATGATGAAAATGAAGATGGAATGAGATCCACCGGTTCTTCTTCAACTTTTCTTTTCTTTTTTCTTTTGTTTTAACGGGCTATCAAAAATTACTAAAATAGCCGCCAAACAATTCTTGGTTTTAAATTTGTCAAAGATTGAGAACCTTTTAATCAGAGCAATACAGAGTGATATGTTGTTAAAGACGAAAATGAAGATGGAGATAGTACCCCCTCTGGTCCTTATTATAAGGCATTTTGAATTTTACTAGATTTCACCTACTACGAATTTTCAATTGACAAAAAACCTTTAAAAATATATTATCACATTTGTTGTGTTCTCTTGATTGTTAGGGAATATTTTTAAGGTTTTTTTGTCAATAAAAAATGAGTGATAGGTGAAATATTGCACAAATCAAAGTACCTTATATTAAGGATCGGAAGGAGTATTAAATTTCATTGCCTTCTCTTTTGTTTTATTTTCTTATGTTATTACTTATTTATTCTTTGGACCTCTTATTTTTAATGCACCCTTCAGAAGAAAAAAGGAAAGAAGTTGATTACCTGAAGAGGATGAAGATAATTATTGGTGTGGCAAATGCCTTAATGTAGATGCAAGAGTCAGAAGTGGTACACCTGAATACTAAATCTGGCAGCATTTTGCTTGACAAGGACTACAGCGCGAAAATCGCGAATTCGGGTTGGGCCAAGAGGTTGCCAAGGGATCCTGTAAAGAATTACCATTAATTGTTGGCACACCCATGTATATTGATCCGGCATTCGACGACACACACAAAATCAGCTCCAAGTCTGACATCTATGCAATGGGTATTATCCTTGTAGAGACCATTTCAAGCAAGATTGCATCTAGAACAATGGTGCAGTGGGTAAACTTCCACTATAAGAAAATCAGCAAACACCCACGAACTTTTGTGGCCATAGGTATACCATGGGTATTTACCCACGGAATACCCAAGAATTACCCATAAAATTCGGGAAAGAAATTATTTTTTATTTAACCATGTTATACCCACGAAGTTAACCATGGAATCACCCACAACTATCTTTAACCATGGGTATTCCGTGGGTAACTTTTTTCCGGTAATTCCCGCCAATGATTTTCCCGTAGATTACCCACGGAATATTCTGTAGGAAATATTTTCGTGGGTAAGTTGTGGGTAAATCTTGATTTATCCACGAATTACCCACGGCCTTTAGCCTTCCGTGGGTGATTTTAATTTTTTTTCTTTTTGAATTATTCTTATTTTATTAAATTTACATACTATATCTTTGGTCGTGGGTATTCCTTGGGTGAATTTATTTTTTTTAAAAAAAATAATTTTCTTAATTATAAAGAAAAAATAGGGCAGCGAATATACTAAACTCTATTTCAAATACAAGTTAAATCTTAAAGTAGAGCTGAATCCTTATTCAATCTAGCAGACCGACGAACTCAAACTCTTTTTTAGCCTTAGCCTTTTTCGAATAATTGTGATTTTTTGAAGCTTAAACTTCACTATAAAAGGACTCTTGTTCCATTGCATATGCCATGTCGAAATCTTCATCATCAGAACCATTAAAAACATGATTTTTTTTTTCTCTCCTTCGGAATGGATTTGATCAATCGAATAACTTGTGTTTGAAGCCTCAGTATTTTTTCCCACCTCCGTATCATCTTTGGATATATATTGTGTATTTTCTGGAGCTAAAAAAGGGAGTAATACTTGGAGAAGCGGTATTTGTTATAGAGAAGAATGGGAAAATTCCGGTCAGTAGGGTTTTATTTGTGTTTGGACCGTTTAGGAGAGTTATTTTGATAGATGATTTTGATAGATAATTTATTGGGTGCACCCGGGGGCACCATACTCTCCCTCCTATTTTTTATACTACTAGTCCTTACTACATTTTTTTTCACTTTTCTAAATAACATCCTATAATTTACAGGTTTAGTCCCTTTGATTTTTTTTCTCTCTCCTTTAAAAAACATCTCTAATCTTTAAACGACCATATCTCATGATCCGTAAAAATTTAGAGAACGTGTTAAATTATAGTACTCGTCGAGATCTATCCAACAAGATCCATGTCGAATATTTTTTTTGAGTTTCAAAATGACTAAATTTCAATGAGCAGAATAAGATGGATATCTAGTTTAGAAAAATGGATAACCAGTTTAGTTTAGATTAAGATTCTTATATTGCATATATCCCTTGATCCGTAAAGAATTAGAATACGAATTATACATGAAATTTATAGTACTCGACAAAATCTATCCGATAAGATCCATGTTGAATATTTTTTTTAAACTTTAAATGAATTTAAATTTTACGGGCAGAAATGAAGAAATGTGTTTTTCGTTTTTTCTTTGAAAAATGATTATCCATTGTGTTCCTACTGATATCCAACCGGTTTGGACTGATTATCCATTCTGTTTGTACTTGTTATCCAATCATATTTTTTACATTCACTCTTAAAAAAACAAAAGAAAGAAAGAAAAAATGATTGGATAAGCTTTGCAAACAATTTGGATAATTCATACAAAATAATTGGATAATCAGTGCAACACGTCGGATAATCAGTACAAAAATATTTGACAATCATTTTCATAAAAGAGGAAGGGGAAAAAATACAAACAGTTTGGATAGCCATATAAATCTGTTGGATAACCACTATACACAAGTTGGATAGACACACAAACCAAGAAGTGGATAGATATCCAGTTGGATATCCAGTACAAACAAGTCGGATATGTATACAAACCCGTTGGCTTACAACTACAAAATAAGTTGGATAGGCATACAAACCAAATGGATTGATATCCAGTACAAACAAGTTGGATAGACATACAAACCAAATGGATAAGCAGTACAAACAAAATGGATAACCAGTTCAAACTGATTGGATAATCAGAATAAACACAATGGATAACCAATTTAGAACAAGTTGGTTTTCTATCTTGTAAAACTAGATATCCACCTTTATTCTGACCATCAGAATTAAGTCATTTTTAAGCCTGGAAAAATATTCACTATGGATTTTATTGGATATATCTCGACGAGTATTATAAATTTCATAGATAATTCGTTCACAAATTCTTCACGGATTGGGAGATATGCTCGTTGAAAAATTAGAGATGTTTTTTTGGGAAGAGAGAAAAAAAATGACAGGGACTAAACTTGCAAAATATAGAAAGATTGATAAAAAAGTACAATAAGGACTAGAAATTCAAAAAATAAGAATAGGTACACGGTGCCCCCGGGTATACTGGATAGAGACTCGAGTGTTTGACTTGGACTTTTCCTTATTCAAATGCAATTGCTGATTTGAGGGGATCAGATTTGCGAAGTCCGCAACAGCTGCAGGCGAAACAGATGTGTAACTTAATTGCGAATTAAATGGGTTTTGCGGATTTGATGGAATCTCTTGATCCTCCTTCATCGCCGGTGAGTATTGCCGGCCTTCCATTGCCGGCGATGAAGCTACATCTCCACGTGTAGGTATTAAAATTGGACAGCAGGTGTAGGTATTAAAATTGGATTTTCTCCCACGTTCGCTGGTGTAGCAGCCGCAGCAGCGATATCAACGACTCGTAGATCATCAGTTGCACCGGCAATGATGAGCGGCGTACAAGTAGCGCCGGCAGCATCACGAGCATCAGGAGATGTCCACAGATCAGCAGCAGCTTCATCAAAGGTTTGATTCATCGGAGGCGGATCGCCAGCAGCAGGGCGCTCTTCAGCAGTAGCGACATCCTCGATGTCTCTCTGGTCAAAAACGACAATGTTTTCTTGAAATTTCAGAGGTGGATCATCCGCATCCACTTCAATGAATTACGTCTCTATCTGCAGAGCCTTAGAACCGGCAGCAGCAATGGTTGGCAATGCGGAGATCAGCACACCTCCGTCAACAGCAGATGATGGAATCTGCACAACATTTGAAGGTGAAGAAATCAGCCCTAATGAGGTTATTGCATTTGATTGCTTTCCTTGTGATTGAGTTTTTGATTGTTGTTTTGAAGGTAGTGAATCTTTTTTTTGTGATGATGACGTTTTTGTATTGTGCCGACAAGAATTAGAATCATGTCCAATCTTCTTGCAATCAACACAGTATTGGGGAATGTTCTCATAAAAGACTGATTGGAAGTAACTCGCCCCTTCGACTCTTAATCTAATTTAAATTGGATGCTCCTTGAGAAGATCTAACTCTACACAGACTTGAGCCACAGATGGTCGTGACATGTTGAGTGTTGGAACATCAATTTGGATGGGAGTTCCAATAATACTAGCTAGTTTTCATAAATATGCCTTGTTGAATCGATGAATGGGAAGGCCTTCAAAGACAATCCAGACTGGAACAATGGAGCTTTCATGCGCCGGATTGAAGTCTGTGGTCCATTTTAGAACTCGCATACGATGCGAGTCAAAAATCCATAGACCTTTTAACCAACAGCGTTGAAAATCTTCTTCTAAATCAAAGCAGATAAGGATGTGTCAAAAGGTTATCGATCCAAGGAAGAAACTTCCTTTGAAACCGATAGTTTGGAATTCTCTTCGCAAGTATTCCATTTTCGGCCGGCCTTTAGTGAATTTTCCTACGAGAGCTAGACGGAAAGGGGCTGCCAATCGATCATCCTCTTCTTTGGTAAGAAGAAAAGTTGGCTCTCCTTTGAAAAGTGTTAGTTCTTAATGAATCTCAAGTTGATTTAGATGGTGATTTTTGATTGAGTGATTTTGTATAGTCTTTGGATTTGCGTGAGATCCCAAAATCTGAGCAAAAGAAGATTTATTTAGTTTTTTTGGTTGTGTAAGGCCTATAGCCGACGGCGGATCGCTGGCCATGGGCGGAAGGAAAGAGAGATGTCAGAGAGAGGAAAAAAGAGCGGATCTTGTATTCTGTTCTATAAAGAAAGTTTTTTATCCTTTTTTTTTCTTATTCCTTGAGTGAATTTAGCTCACCAATTCCTACTTATTACTTTCCCATCGATTAACCTCGGTCTTGTCCGTGGGTAATGCTGTCGTCAGATAAGTCATGGATAAATTTAAATTTACCCATGATTTCTTTTTCCCTTTAGATGATTTTATTTTATTTTTTTAATAATTTGGTCCAATCTTTGTAATTTATATGTAGTCAAAATAGTCAATGCTAGATAAACTCACTAATAACTAGTAGTGTCTATTTTAGATTTCGAATATATATATATATATATAAGTAATTGGGCTATGTAGTTGGTCTATATAGTAATATCCATAATGTAATTGGTCTATATAGTAACTTTAATTTTTGGGTCAAATTTTAAAAATTGAAATTTTTTGGACTCGGCCCAATTCAATAGTATGATAATTTAGGTAGCATATCTTTGAACAATCATAATAAGGCACCCTAATATTTTTTTAATTGGCCCCATAAATTTATAACATTTCTAAACAATAATCTTAAACTAATAGTGAGATACCTTAATATTTATAATTTAACCCATAAAATATGGCATTTAAAACAAAGGTCCTTCAATGAGGATAGTCAAATGCACCAAAAGTTAATAATAATATAATTACAAGCAATTTTATACAATACTATGATTGACTTGAAGGCATATTTGTATGCGGCGATTTATTAAATTTACACCGTCTGATACAATATTAGAACTATTAGTGTAATGGGAAAGATAATGTATTAAATCAGCTTATGTGTCCTATAATCTAATACTTTTGGACATCTAGTATATAACTTTACAATAGTGATAGTTGATGAAATTTTATAGAAAAATGGAATTACTATTGAGAACAGAAACAATGAATCACTCTTTTAATAACCACAATATAGTAGAGAGTAGTTAGTTATGTGTTTATACATTAGCCAAATCAATCACTACCCTATTTTACCTTTTATTTTCCACGTACATACCATGTTTCATTATTTCAATCAATTTTTTTTTTCCAATCGATTCTTAAGCAATATAGATATGTGTAATTATTTCAAAACAAATGTTATCAAAACTGTATTGAAATTATAAACAACTACCGAACCTAAATATTTGGCTCAAGTTTATTTTAATTATTTTATAATAAATTCAGATTTCCTAAAATCGCAAATCATAGTTTTAATTGTTTAAAAAGATTTCAAGATTCACTATGCAACATCTAATTTAAACATGCTATACTATGAGAGAAGAATGAGTTTTATAAATTTACCATCTTATCATACATAATCTGAAATTTGAACACATTAAATTTTAATTTAATAACTCAAATTTGTGATATACAGCGTCTGGGAAAAAAAATGATTTTTGAAGATAATATTTAAAGTAAATGCTCATACGACTAATTTAATTTGTACTAATAATCGAGTATATAAATATTGAAATAGGAGAACTACAATAATAAATCTTGTCTAGTCCTTTAATTTTCTCACTTATAAAGGAATTTCATTGAAAATAAAACACACATTAACACTTCAAATTTTTTTTAAAAAAAGTATACGGCTGTAAATTTGTTGGTAAAATTTTTTGGCTGAAAAATGTGGGGGGAAAATGCCCGCCTCACTATTTATTTTATTATCATTTTTTGTTAAATATAATATATCAAAAGGCAAAATTTCAACACAATGACAAAAATTACTCTAACACTTCCAAATCAGCGTCGGCATCCCCCTCATCCCCCTCTCTCCCTCCAACAATCCTCTTCTCCAGTCGACGTTGAATCGTGGTCCGTCGTCTCTATTGGAATTCCATTAATACCTGTTTGTTTAAAGTTTATTTAGTGTCGTTATATTTTAATACTCTAGTTTCCACTACTACTTGTATGTTTAAAGTTTATTTAGTGTCTTTAAGTTTTAATCCTCCCTCCAGTCCTTAATATTAGCCATTTCGATTTGTTCTATTTATCACTTAGGATGCATCTTTTATTGACTAAAAACCCATAAAAATGTATTTCATATTCATTGTTAACTCCTAATTATTAAGGAATATTTTTATGTTTAAAAAAAAATAAATATTTTAAGGGTTTTTTTCCAATTACAAATGCGTACTAAGTGAATCCTAAAACAAATCAAAATGCCTAATATTAAGGACCGGAGGAATATAATATTGCTTGTACTTATCTTTCTATCTAATTTATTGCATTGTAGGCTGAAATCGTTCTACAAGATGAGAATCAATGGAGGAAATTACTTGATGAATCATTAGCAAAGGATTATTCACTCACAGGCTTCAAGATGATTATCAGATTAATAAGGGATAGCGTTAAGGAAAGCCCTGAAAGACGTCCAGATGCACGTGAGTTCAGGGGCGGAGCTACATACAAGGGAAGTGGGGCAATTGCCTCAGCTGGAATTTTTTTTTTTTTTTTTTTGCTATTAATCCTTGAAATTTTAGAATTTTCTTTTAAAAAAATCAATTTTTACCCCAGCTGAATTGAAAATATTAAGAGCAAGTATATTAGATTAGAAATTTGAAAAGTTTTGCCCCATCATATGTAGGGGGCTTGGCTCCGCCCCTGTGTGAGTTGGATATCCGATTGAGCAAAATTTCTCAATGCCCTCAGTAGAAAAAGAAAATGAAAAGATGTCCATATGAGAGTTTGTAATAGTGCACGACAACGAGGTAGTAAGGCACATCCCCTATTTCCAATAGGTTACGGGTTTGAGTCGCACAAGGGTAAGTGGAGAACCACTGATAATTCCCTTTAGAGACGTAAGAAATTAATTCACCTTTCTTAATGATTGGTTGAGATCGATTATATTAATTTGGTTGAGACATAATCCTTTAAAAGTATTAGTTCGGTTCGGGAAAACAAAAAAAAAACTAGTCAAGTGCATAACTTTGCCTTTACTTCTAATGTAGAGGGCAAAATGGATAGTTGGAGAGACATATTAAAACTAGAAGCCATTATTACAAGAAAATATAGGCTAATAATTGGTTGACATATATTACAAAAATGAAGATGGAAAGATAAAAATGAATATGGAATTAGATTTGTGGGTTCTTTTTTGTTTTTTCATTTTTGTGGTTCACCGGGTTGTCAAAAAATTGGTTCACATGGATATTAAACCTAGCAACATTTTGCTTGACATGGACTATAACCCGAAAATCGTGGATTTCGAGTTGGCCCAAGAGGTTGCCAAGGGATCCTATAAGGAATTACCATTAGTTGTTGGCACTCTCGTGTACATTGATCTGGTATTCAACGACTGACACAAAATTAGCTCCAAGTCTAACGTCTATGCAATGGGTGTTGTACTTTTGGAGACTATTTCAGGCAAGATTGCATCTAGGAGAATGATGCAGTGGGTAAATTTCCATTGATGCTTGTCTGCTTAAAGTTTATTTAGTGTTGTGATGTTTTAATACTTCAGTTTCCACTAATATTTGTCTGTTTAAAATTTATTTAGTGTCGCTATGTTTTAATCCTCCCTCTAGCCTTTGAGCTCTAAACTGACCCGGCATCACATCTTCCATATTTGGTACGTCAATGTTGTGATTGGAACAAAATGCAGTTACAATTTTCAATAGTTCGGCCCAACCATAATTATTCCTATATTCATCCAAATCATCTTTCACTGATCCAATCAACACCACAGCATGGCCTATATCTTGATTTTTTTTTTCTTTGCAACAATGATGACAATGCATTTGTTCTTCCAAATATGTCCATGATTAAATGTGCAATGAACACAAATTCAAAAGTACACATGTTCTCAATCAAACATGAAACAGTAATTCAGCTTTGCAGTGCCACTCTCCAATATACTTTCAAGTACATCTTTCACTGCATCCCACATATTTAAGAGTCGCATAATCGTTTTATGGTGAGAACCCCAACGAGTAGCAACTGCCCGAGCTAAAGTTGTTTCCTAATTCTAACCCTTTCCTGTACTGATTTCACGACATTTTATTTGTTGTACAAGATTTTCATGGTACTTTTGAAGAAGTGCATGCCT